GGGAGGGAAAGTGGAAATTCCTATGGCACCGTGTAGTAAAGTGGAAATTTCCAAGAGCGTTGGTCCAGCACATCCAGAAACTTAAATAAATGTAAGGTATAAAATAAAAGATTTTTATAAATAAAAATGTATACCACGGTCCGTATAAAACATAAACTTTCGGTTTAATCTTATACACATATCACAACCTCCTTGCATGACGCATAAAAATTTAAACATATTTCATTTTCACTGTTCTCACAAAAGTGTGTTGGACGTTAGGGACAAATTTGTTTTGCGCGATTTATATAAAAATACGAATTAGAAAATGAGATCGTTCGCTCAAGTGTCACGTCGCCCATTTCGTGTTGACCGGAGTACCTGATGACGGTGTCGGCGTGTGATGTTCGAGAATTTTCGATCGACGCATTATCGCGATATGATTATCACCGGTCCGTGGACGCCATTACTGACGGGACTTTTTTCCGCCGAAACTTTCTTTGCGAACGTCCGACTCGTCGATTTTCCCGTGCCGCCGGCCGTGTGTTTTTATGGTTGCGGCATAACACGGTGGAGTCGTTATTTCCGGAGACAACTTTGTGCGTGTGACGACTGTTCAAACCGTAGCTGATCCATGTCCGCAAAATTTTCTTTCGGTTATCATCCTGCGCGGAGAAGCCAATTATTGTAAATCGAGACCGACGCCGCTGATCAACCGATTCTTCTGTCGGTTGTGACGTTCATCGCCCGTGTGAACACGGTCGCGTGGGCATAACCACTCGAACGTCAGACCGTTCAAGGTGTCTTTCAGGGCCAGCGTGAGGGTAATAAGTGCACCATTTTCAAGGGGGGTACCAAAAATGTTTTTTTACAATTCTGCACATAATGTCAGTATTATTATTATTTTTTTTAATGTAAAATACCTATAACTTTGTATCGAAATACTGATAATAATTATGGTTATTTCGTTTAGCCGTATATTAAGATAATATAAGTATATTTACTATGGTTTAGCGTAGAATGTTTTATCGTATATTATATTATTATATATTATATAATTCCTAAATATTTGTTATGGTTTAATCGGGATCGCGTCGAATCGTCGTGACTAAAAAATTAGACGATAATAAATGATGTATAAGTTGAGCATAATATATCATGTTTTTTAAGTTAATTACGGGTTTTTGTATGAAAAAGGCGCTAGTTGGCATTTTGACTTCGGGCGTCATTTAACCTTACGCTGGCTCTGGTATCTTCTGTTATATTTGTTAAAAATATTATATTTATTTTTATACGATTTTTCTTGTTATATTATTACAACGCGTTTGGAGCATATGTGATTTAATTGTTATTTTTATATTTATCATATTTATTATTACTTTTTTTGTTAATATTATTGTGGCGCTTTTGGCCCTTTTATCCCGGCATTTGTTATAATTTCATTAATTATCCTTGTTAAGTGTTCTTTTTTATTGCAAACGACGCGAGTACGTCACACAATCGAATCAGTGATGGTTTGACTGCGAAGCGTAAGTACGAAATATGACAATCAGTACAGTAGTTGTAGTGAACCATTAACTTCACCATACATGGTTAAAACGGCAAATGCTGTTTCACTAAATCTATTGCCTGAAAAATCAAAAGAAAGATATATAATGGCTTATGAAAAACTTTTAAAATTAAGAAAAATAAATAAAACCAAATCATTGTCGGAAAATTTTCTTACTAATTGTAATAAATTATCTACAGAAATTAAACCGTTAACTCTATGGTCTATTTATTTAATGCTTAGAAGCGTGAAAAATATGAAACATTGGTTGGTACTTATTTAAAATTACAAGTTTTTTAAAGAGAAAATCGAGTGGATTAAAAGTAAAAATTTCAAAGTTTTGATTTCAACCGATATAAAAAATTCATTGATGAAGCTTTTGATATTCAATATTTAGTAAAAAGGTAGGTGAGATAAGATTGTTTTGTAATATTGGCTATTCATTCTCCGTTCATTTAATAAGATATATGTAATATTCATTAGTGAAATATATATTACACATTAAACTTCTTTACTCAAAAACAAATTGTTCACGATCGTTTAATATTAAAGGGGATTTCTGTGATATTTTTAAGAAATACCTACATGGATTTATGTCCCACAAATGTAACATCAGATAGATTTTTTTTTACTTATAAAAACGGTTAATGCACCAAGCAGATTAATGGAAAAAATAAAATTGGAAATATGCCAAATGAAATTGCAATATATTTAAATTTACTATATTTCCGAGCTTATACAGGTCGTTTTTTCGGCCAAACTTCAGCAACATTACTTACCATTTCTGTTGGTGATGTTGCAACTAATAATGGGAATAATCAAATAGAATCATCGAAATAATGGTTACAGACATATTTACCAAATGCAAATCAATTATATTCGAAAAATTGCGTGTTTTACTCATTTCCCATTTGGGTACTAAATTAAGAAGTCGACTGTCTATTAGTATTGTATTTTATTTGTTAAAAATAATAAAATTACTAAATTTAACTGAAACTACAGGTACCTATTTGGTAAAGGGCACAGGTCTTATCATTTTTGAGAGGGAATACCGGGATTTTCCAGGTATCCCGGTGGGCTAGTACGCGTCTGTATGAGCTCAATTTTTAAGGTATCGATATCACGAAAACTGTTTTATAAAGATTACATATATAGAAATATATAATATACCAAAAATAAAGTTTATAAGGTTCACGTAATAATGATTGTCATAAACTGGGGAAGAGCCAGTGTTTCCTAACTTTTAATAAACCCTGAACGTGTATTTTAAAGAGAATATTATCTGATATTTGAGTACAAAATAGTAAATAAAAATTTACGATTTACCGATTTTAGCATTTGATTATCGGACAAAAAATTACCAACTTTTTAAAATTTCTTAGAGTATAAGCATTTGCCATTTGCCCCTCTGATTTGAATAAAAAAACCTTTTATTTCACTTTTAAGCATATGCAATTTTGATAAAGCAATTATTTTAAGAGTAATATGGTGGATAAGCTTCTATCAATCTTTTTATTGTAAAATTATAAAATAAACATTTTAGTTAGTACGGTATATTTTTATTTTTGATATTATGTATTCAATATTAAAATACCTAATTAAAATAAAACATATTAATTAATTATTATACTCAATAAACTAAATTGAAAATATTAGTCAAACATCGAACTCAATATACATAGTGAACTATTATTTATATTATTCTTTCAAATAATAATAATAATATAATTCATACGTTTATTTTTCTATACTGGATGGTTTTTAATCTCTAGCCACTGCCCACCCTCTCGATAAACTAAACGAGGTTATGTGCTGTATTATCAAACCAATAGGTGTAACAAGCAACGTAGAAATCAGTGTTTATTTCAAGGGTGACCGGGGTAAGATATATATCCCGAAAAAATGCGTTTATTTGTTCAGTATTTACTCCAATGGCATACCGCAAACCCCCTGAAATCGTACAATATCCGGGATGGAAGTTTTGAAAAAAACACTGGTGTTTTTTTCAAACACATGTGTTTTCACATGTAAACAACTATCAATATGTACTCTCTATCCTCCATAGTTTCGCTTTTATACATCGAAGTTATCGACTGCTAATGAAAACATTTAACGGTAGGGACTATTGAAATATTTGGGTGGCCACAAGTCCGCTCGAGTCTCCAAAATTTCATCCGTAAACACATACACCACGGTTTGCATTACCTGTTTCGTGTTCGAATCTAACAGAACTCAGAACATTCGAAAAATCAGCATTGTTTAACCGAGTGCGATTCGATCGTGCACCTATAGTAGGATAGATTGCGCCTTCAAAACATCCGATTAATTCGATGTTGAATTTTTTTCTCCGTTCAGCTGATAATCGATCGTTAGCAATAAATTACCGTATCGGTGTCAGCCGCAGCAGTGACCATGTCGGTTGATCGTTTAACTTGCAATCGGTATCACAGTTTGTATGACATTTTAACACAGATATATACAGTTTATATCTGTGCATTTTAACGATTATTCAGACGCGGGGAGGGGGATGGAAAAATGTTCAAAATCAAAAGTACCAGTGAGAGACTGACCGTATCTCGTGCTATCACAACCATAGACATATTATTTTTTATATCTTACAAATAGAAGCAGTTCTAAAAATTCAACAAGATGTAATCCCGCGTCTCGCACGTGAAATCGTATGTTCAATAACATTTTACCTACTCGCTAGTAATCGAATCAACAATGACCAATGTAGTTACAGCATGAAAATAATTAAATTACTTATGACCCCAATCCCAGATTTTTATTCGATTCTTACGTATTTATATTATAATGGCAATAAAGATGGGTAAGTTTTCAATAAATAGAATTTAAAAAAAAAATATGCTGAATACAATTTTAGTAAGGCGTGTATTCTCTGTACTCTTGCCAAATAATTATTTTATTTAAGTCATTAAAATACAGTTAAACGTGTTGCTCCCGTGCTCAAATGTTGAAGTTATGCCACTGAAATGTAGTCATTATCGGTTAAATATTCAGATCTAATAATGCAAAGGAACTATGCTATTAAGAAAATCAAGCCCTATTGATAAATCACTGATTTTTATTTTTAATTGTCTTTGTTCATTTAATAACAATGAAAATAAATTAGGTTTAAATATTAGTTGAAAACTCCTTGTTTTCAATGTGCAAAACATAAAATGTGTTAGTTAAAAACAATATATTTGGATTATCAATACAACAGCTAATTTGTTTATTTGTCTATCAATTAGGTGATGATGTATATATACAGACAAATATATAATGAGTTGTCATACATGTTTTCAAAAAGCAAAAAGAAAAAAAGTTTGAAAATTTTCTTTTAATATATGTTTAAAACCATGACAAAATAATCCTGTTTAGAAAATTAGTTTCTGTTTTATTATATATTAGCAGTGTCATGAAATAATTAGAAATTAATACAAAAGGAAAAAAAAATTAAAAACAGAACTTAAAAAATACCGTATGCCTTTACTTTGAAAAATCAATTATTTCATTGATAAACAGATAATGTATAAAATTCTATGAAATAACAGTACTTTCTCGTGATATTCAAGTGTTATTAATACAAATACATCAAATATGTATAAGGTATTCATTTGAAATTATCATTCAATTAATTAGGTATATTGGCTAAATAATCAGCCACTTGTTGTTGATCGAGTTTTTCAAAAATGATTTCATTATTTCTATTCTTACGGCAAACGCCAACTTCAATATTATCAGCAGTCATTTGTCCTTCAAATCCTTCTTTTAATGCCAAAATTGCTGTATGAATCGCATCTTCCAACTCCAAGTCTTCTTTATACCTATATTCAAATTACTTTAGTTGTAACTTGTGATATTTAATCTTATGGTCAAACATATACATATTTATGTAAACAAAGCTTATGGTAAATACAAAATTAATAATTTTTTTCATATTTACCGCTTTTCTAAAAACAATTTGCTATTCACGTAATTTTTTCCCAGTGCTGTTGCCTTCCAGGCAAAGTATGCACCAGATGGATCACATTGATACAGTTTGGGACCAGTTCTATCCCACCCACATACCAACAATGATACACCAAAAGGTCTCACACCACTGAAAAACAAAATGTTTTATATTTTAACATAATTAATATTATTATTATATAAAATTTAACAATAAAATATTCAAAGTAAAATTTTTGGTTTATATTACTTAATTGATAAATTTCTAAAAAAATATTTTTTCAGATAAAACAGTTATCAATCATATTTTTATATTTTAAAATATGTTGATAATTCAAATATAAAATGATTTCTAACTAAAGGTTTTATTTTAAAGATTATCTCATTAATTTAATATTTATTTAACAATGATAAAGTCCAAATGGTATAAATCATATTGGTAATCTATTTTACTTAATATTTAATACAATAAAAGATACAATAATTTCTATTACTAAAAATTTGTTAAAGAATATAATTTTTTTTTTATTATAGCATCTATTTTTTTTTTTTTTTTTATTGAAGAATCGTACCAAAATCAATATTTCTAAATAGAGTATGAATATAATCAACCAACTTTGAAAATATTTTTAAATCAATACTTATTTTAGAGATATGTGGAGGAACCATTTCTGGAGGGACAGACCAGTCCGACATATGATGAAGTTCCCCCTTCCATAGTACCAACTGAGTTTTAAGTTGATAGTGGTGAGTCAACCTGAGGCATTTCACCACTTCCACTATTTTTAGTCGGCTAGTGGTGAGCCGTGATAAATTAATTAGTAATAATTTATTTGGTTCATATAGTTTAAAAGATCTAGATACTTTAAAAAATTAAATATTATGTTTAAATGTTCAAATGCAAGGTTTAACCTTGGATAAGAAGTAAACATTTTTGAAAAATAGTTTCCAGAGATACAAGCTTTGTCAATGTCTGAGTAGTAAGTTAGATAAAATTGATAACTTTTAAATAATTACCCTGATTGTGTATATTCTTGCATAACACTAGCAACTTCTTGTACTAATATTGCTGTAGGTATTTCTTCTTCAAATTTCAATTGGTATTGGGCAGCTTCTTTTCTTGCTTTTCTTACAAGTAGTCTATAATCAGGACCCATACCTTAAAGAAACAAAAATAAAATAAGTAGTTAAATGCATACATTTATCTTAGCAAAATAAATTAAGTAGAATTTCTGAGTAGGCAATAAAATATAATGACATGATAAACCTTATTGATTTATAGCATGTCTTAATAGTTTTTAATTCATAATACTTTGTCTATATATAAAAAACAAGTATAAATAATGTAGTTTTTCGATAAATTATTTAATTAAAATCATATTTACCACTATAAACCATTCCAATGTTAGGTGTTATTTTTTGTACTTTTTCCACTGTTGTTTCATATAAAAGAGACTTACGCTTATTTTCTGTGGCAACCACAACACCATTTGAAGCTAAAACATAATACATATAGAATTAATACAACATTAAGTAAATATTAGAAAAATACTATTACAATAAATGCATATCATGAATCTTTAAATACTTAACAAAATTTCTTTATTAAAATAAATAAGTAATAAATAATAAAAGCTCTAAGTAATTAATGTTTTTAAAAAAGAACATTAAAACTAATACATACTATACAAATAATATAATAAACTATGATCAACATTAAATTAATTTTGATAAAAATAACTAATGAAATTATAAAATAGTTAGCTTTTTATGAAATTATAAAATTAAATAATTTAATTTTGTGGTGAGGAATATAAGGGATACAATATGTCCATATGTACCATACATAGAAAGCAAGATTACTTCTAAGCAGAGTAGACATTTTAATGTAATATTAGAATGGATTTTTTTCAATTACTTAGTTAAGATAAGTAATCCAAATTCATCAAAAGAAGCACAAGCTATATTCACCTACTAAAATACTAGATTTAGGAGACATTGTCGTTAAATCTTTCACCACTACACAAACCTTTGATACCGACTGATGCTGCACCAGCCGACACTGCTGCTAACGCATATTCAATCTGGACGAGTTTACCCGATGGGCTGTAAAAGTAAAATAAACGAGTACATTATATTAGAAACAGACTCACATAACATCAAATAATAGATCCGTGCTGACTTGAAAAACCATACACAAAAAAAAAAAATGTCGTAACAATGGATCTGCGTAAAATTAGTTTTTACCTGAAAGTGGTCAACGAGAAACTATATCTTTCTGTTGCCATATTGATGGACAAATGAATTGAATCGAAATAAAAGAACGGATTTGGACTTAAATGGAAAAATTCAAGAATCGAAGATCGTAGTATAGTATAATAGGATTACTAAGCGGAAAATTTAAAGTTCAAACTATAAACGCGTTTGTACCAATTTATACGTTTGAGGTTAGTAAATACACGTACGTGACGTCATATATCCACAATAACAATCGATAAGAATCATTTGGGTGATAGCAGTATGATAATAATTACTGTACATTTTGTATCATTATTAGCACTTGATTTTAGTTATTTTATTTTTTTTTGTTTTTTTTTTTTAAAATGATGAAAAATTTGAAAAGTGTGGCTTCACAAAATCTTTTACTACCAACTCGACTGATTAAACAATCTAAAAAACCAAACAGGACAGAAGAAAACGACTGGTGAGTTTTGGACATGTTTTCTGAATCATGGCTAAAAGTTAAAATAGGTTAATGTTATTCCAAAAAACTAAATCATTCTGAATAGTTTCTTACAAGTTTATATTGATTTTATTTTTATTATTATTAGTAGGTATTTAAATATTTACATTAAATCTTTATAACATATTAGAATATCTTGACATTTTAAATTTTAATTGTTATCGTTGGAGTACAATCTCAATTTCAAGTTAGAACTACTTACATGTTATTTAAATTTATAGTTTTTGGTAGATTTCAATAAATAATTGTATTCTCTAATCTTAATAGCTAAATATTAATTTCTTATTATTACAAAAGTTAAAACTTTATTACATTTCCCCCTTTTCATATTAGTATGCATCTAGTTTAGTATCTAGATTTTAAACAATTAAAATTTTATATACATTCTTAAATTTTTATCTATGTAAATTGAAATACTTCTTAAAAACAATATTCTATGGAGTGTAACATTTAAAAAAATATATTAAATTAAATATACTAAATATTAAACGTTATGTGTGAATATAATTAATCAAAAGGTTATTTTTTTTTAAAGTTACTTTTCTTCTAAATTCTTTTTATTTCAACTTTAAATAACTGAAGTAAGTTAATAATTTAATCATAAAACAATCAATATTTTTAATTGTTTTTTTTTAAATTAATAGTTCATATATGTGTATGAGACTAACCAGTTATAAAATATTTTATTTACTATATTTTAAAAATATGAATATAGTTTCTATAACTAAACTAAATTCCAACCCAGTACTTTGAATACTTTTGAAAATAATTATTGGTTTATCAATGGAAGTCCTGGTGTATTACTTTAAATATCTTACACAAATGTAAATTAATAAATTTGAAATGTTATTTTTTAGGTTGTTAGTTGTAACAAATTGGTATTTTTGGATTTATACATGGACTTTAATGGTAGTCGCTCTAGTAGGTTTGGGTGCTACTATTATGTTAATGATTGTTTTACGGTTCACTACTAAAATGGAGAGCATAGAATTTCTAACTGACAGTGACCTGACTAAACTTATGGGCAATATAGATTTAGATGAAATATACAAATCTGATGGAATAATGGAAGGTTTTAAAGATATACCATTAGAAATAGCAAGTGATAATGAGAACATATTTATGCATGTTATCAATCCAGAAGATAAAAGTAAGTTTTCTGATTTCTATAGAATAATGGCTATGTTAATGTATTCTAACAATTGTCATTTCTTCTTTTAGGTCTAGAATCCGCAATTCAACTGGGGTTTAGTAAAACACAAGTAAAAAACATTGAATCATTTACAGTGGGCAATCCAGAAAATCCCATTTTCACTACCTCATTTCCAAACTTTGGACTTCCAGAAGGTGTGCGTCACTTGGATGTAGCCACTGTATATACCAATCGGATAGTTAGTCCATTAAATGAATCTTTAACGTTAAAGTCTTCTAATTATACACGGCTAAAAGGTAATGAAGGAACTATTATTGATGGATCAAAAATGAAATGGTCGGCCGAAGGAGATATATTTCTCAGATCAGTGAATGGCACGGTGGTATTAAGTTCTGCGGGTATTTATTTAGATGTTCAGAATTTGCCAGTAGTACTATCTAACAAATTTGCTGCTCATCAATATAAGCTGTGTATTTGTATGCCCAGTGGAATGATTTTTAGAGTCCCTGTATCTACAAGTTATAATTCTCATATGGCTTGCAGTATGGTTGATCTAGAAGAAGGCAACCATCCATGTGAATAAAAAGGTACATTTTATTAAAATTTAATTTAATAAGTATTTTGTTTATTATATAATGTTAAGTAATATAAATATTAATCGGGTTATTTATATATTAATGTATAGAAAAACATATTTAAAACTAATACTTTTTTCAATACATTTTTTATAATACTTATTCATTTAACTATAAAAATGTTAACACCTCAACAAGAGATTCAACTAATTATTTTTTTATGGTATAAAAAATATGTTTTACCTAGCCTAAATGATTTAAAATATTATCAAATATGTGTTTAAATATTTCAATATTGTTTACGCATTTTTTTTATTGTTACCTATATCCCTTTTTTATGAAATTAAGATTATTAGATTATTAAACTTATTAATAAAATTAACATTTTGACTTAATTTACTCAATTCTAAATAAAATATACTTACCGATACTGATATAGAGTATTGGTGTATATTTAAAATTGATTGTATTAAATATTCAATTAAAAAAATAACATCATTATTCCATTTTATATATTATTTCCTAAAAATTAAATTATTGTTGCCACTACTATTTGACACTAGTGATTCACTGTATATTATTTGCGTACTTATATCTTCAATAAAAAAATGTTTCATCTTCTTCAATAAGTTACTGCTTTTTACAGTGGTCATCACAGTTAATTGCTGAATTTGTTAATATTGTATATCTATATTTCCACTGATTCATGTAGTACTTAAGAATTTTTTTTTTGTTGTGTATGAGCATATTGGCCTCTACTGCATGACTAGCGAGTACAATATTTTAATTAATAATTGATAAATTAACAACATTATTATCATATTACTAATTGGATCATTATTATTTGTTTCAGATGAGTTTGTTTTGAATTTATCAATGAAAAACCAATTGCTACAAATTTACTTACAATGAATATCAACTATAATAACAAAAAAGAAAACATTCAACACTTGTCTATTTGTATAAAATTATATTTAATACACAGATAGGCGGACGCAGGTGTAATATTGATGTTAGTATAATTATATATTTCACTGTTCACTACTGTTATAATTGATTCAGTGAAATCAACACTATTAAAATTAGTCAAAAGTATTCATAGTTTATTTATAAACAATTAAGATATATATATATATATATAATTTTTTTTTATTAATACTTCTATTCACATTAATTTTTATTACTTAAAATCACTAATCTAGTCATTAAATCTAGTCACATTTGTACGTAAGTTGTGAATTTATTCACAAATTATAATATGTTATTTGTTTTTATAATACAGTGAATAAAAAATTGAGTTTTCCAATTATTGTAATGAGGAATTTATTTGATTTAAAAGTTATAAAAAAAGTTCTTATATATATATAATTAAAAATCATCACTAAAATGATTTTCAACTAGAATCAAACAAGTACACTTAAATACTTACACATAAAATACATGGAATTACAAGCTTTAAATGTTAAATTTATACTACATCATGCACTTTCCATAGCTACTTCTTCACTCTCTGCGCCCGTAGAATCCACTTCTTCTACCATTCCCTCTTGTTTGACATATGCTTTTTGTAAATCACCAAAAATAATTCCATTAATTGACTTCAGTTTTAAGATATCTATAAAAAAAAAAAAACCCATCGAAAAACTAGTCAGCATGAGCTATTAATAAATAAAAATAAACAATACATACTGTCATTTCCATTAAGTACAGCAATAAAACCACCATGAGCCATTACTCGAACTAAATGTTGGGCTGTCATACACAACAAATCTTGTTGTTCTAATGTTAATAATGTTTGGATCCTAACATTACCAGTCTCACATGGATCTATGATTCCAGCTGAGCCTGGAAGAAATAGCCCACCAGCTAAAAGTTGAATAACTCTCCTGTATGCTATTTGAATAGGTAATGTTTGCTTGTTGGTCAATAAAGAACGATGAGCCTAAAAATGTAATAATATATTTTACTGTAGATGTTTTTTTTTTATTTTAGTTGATAATTTGACTTACCAATAAATCTATCATCCATGGATTTAAACAATTTAATCCTGTAAAACGATTGCGCAGATCTTTGAGAAGCCTAACAAGCATTTTATTTGATGAATGAGATGCATTGTCATCAAACCACCGGCTTTATAAAACAATACATTAAAAAAAATATTACAATCAAACATAAAGAAGATGATACAGTAGAAAAAAAAAAGGATTAAAAACTTCTAAATTTTTATTGCACAAAAATTAATCGCTATACTGATTGTATTTACAACCAGATTAAGAAATAAATCATAACTGATATTTTTATTAAAAACTTACCTATGACGTATTGCTCCCATGTGTAGTTTCATTGCATTCGAATCTAAGTGTAGTCCAGACGTTAGCTTCTTCAAATTTGTAGATATAGTAGAAATAAGTATGCGTACGGTGCCCTGCGTTGAAATAACATCAAAACCAGTGCTGTCAGGTGCCATCAAGACATCTAAAACCATATGGACGAGTTTAACATACACATACACAAGTTATAAGACTATAGGTACATTTGAAACCAACCGTCAGCAATCTGTAATCCAGTAGGATAATTTTCTCTAAAATCAGCAATAATTCTCTGTGACAGAGCAACAACACTTTCTTTGGTAGGCAAAGTCTTAAAAATGACCACAATGTCAGCAACGGTATGACCTTTCATAATAGTTGCTTTTTTAAACGAACCTACCACTCTAACTTCTTCGATCTGAAACACCAACGCAGCGGGTTATAGTGAGCGAGTAAATGATTCAATGAACGGCACAGATATAAACTTACAGATACTTCAGTTTTTCCAGGGGAGATAATTATATTATCTAAGATCGATTGTATCTTAGTGACAAAACCCAGCAGTGCGGAATGGTCTTCGGAACTAGGTGTCAATATCTGTGCTCGTTTGAGTAAGGCCTGAGAAACGAGCACAGAGAACACAATTAATTATTGTACAACAGTGAAATCAGTTAGCTGTTAAGACAGCACATTGTAATCTAATTTAACATTGGATATACTTACTGCGTTGAATGCCGATTCCTCTGTAGTGTGTGCACCGGGCTTCACCCGTGGGAAGGCACCCTCGCAGAGGACTATGTCGAAAGGATGCCTGGGCACTCTGCGCGACATGAACGGAGGAACCATCGGTCCAGCCAATGACGGTGGAAATCTATTCATACTGATGCGTCCACTGCCACGAACCATCGGTTTCAGGAGGTCAACCGTCGAAACGGGCAGGACCAACTCAGGGAATTTAACGGGTTCCTTCGTTCGCGTACAACGGGGGAGGGTGACTCTTGTACTGTGTCGACGTTCTAAGACTTGGAAAACGAAATTGGATAAGTAAATCGATAAACAAAACGTATAAACACTGATATTCTGGGTTTTGACAGTGACGTTCAGATTAACAACATAACCTATAAACGAAAAACCGATTTCCACCAACAGATATCGCTTCCTGGAGTAAGAACAATTATTGTAGGAATAATTTGTATCTGTTTTCAGAAACTATTCAAATACCGTGCTTGGGTCAGTTCTCATTGACACCAATGCCGTAAAAATTATAGTTGTAGGCAGTTAACAGCACTCGGTTTCCGTAGCCGACACCCGCTTAGTCTAAATTATTAGAACAATTTGGGAGAATTTTTTTTTTTTCAATTTGTTCTTCACAACTTGTACTATAATATGTATCTATTGAATATTGCATAAAAATGCGTAGTTCTTAGTAATAGCATTAATTAATTAATTAATTAGCAAAAAAATAATGGAAAAATTGTGTTTTTGTGTTAATTTTGGTATTGTTCTACAGAAAATAAAAATAAAATAAAATGCCGTAAATATATTAAAAACAATGAAATAATTGTGAATTGAGAAAGTTTAAGTTTTAAAAATTTTTATTAAGTACCTATGAAAAAAATGATATAGATTTTTGAGCAAAAAATTGGAAATATTCGATAAAAATTTAAATGTTTCCAAACAAATTGCTGTGTCAGCTTTGATAATGAACCTAATGATATCATATTTTAAATTTACCCACAAAATAATATAATAAAAAATAATCCATTATAAAATTTAGTATTTTTTTAGTTTTTTGGAATGACACTTTTGGCCAGTTAAATTTTTGTTTCAGACCACTGTGAGCCGTTTAAAAAATTACATTTTTCATTTGTCCATTGGATTCGTAATCATTTTATTTTTGTTACATCAGTATTAAGCATTGAAAGATGTTATTACTGATGAAATAAATATTATTAAATATGTAAAAAAGATTATTGCTGATTTCGCAAATGCTAAAGCTGCGAAGAAAATATTACTTTTTTTTAATATTTAAATATTTTAGTCATATAATAATAATTGCTATTTTTATTTCTATTGTTGAAGACTATAGTTGTTATTTTTATATTTTATTGTTAATCATGTTTGTAGAATCATTAATCATATTCTATATATAAAGGGACGGCCTGGGAGAAAAATTCAGGCCGGGAAAATGTATTACCCAGGCCATATATTAATGTTTAGCTTGTAGGCCGTTACTATGTGGGGGGAGGTAGAAAATGGCTGAGCTTATGTTCTAACCTCCCCCTCACCAACAACACTACCAATTTATTTAATAATTATTTATTTATCTATTCTTTCAGTTTTTATTATATATATATATATAAGAGGACATAAAAAAAATAAACCTTCAATCAGTATCAATATTTTTGTGAGACTATTGTCTGTTCATGTCAATTCAATTTCGAAGGCCTAGTTACGCCAATCTCTATGACTATGTATTTTCTTTAAACAACTGAAAAAAAAGTTCAGTTAGCCATTGATTTTTATAAATAAGCAATACCTACTATATGATTGAATTTTTCATAATAAATTATATTTTATAAACAAACCAAAAATAATATACAATGTATATTATACATACATCAATTAAGCTTGTATAATTAATTTTATATTTTAAATATAAATAATAAGTTAAGACATTTTAAAGACATGTCGAAAGAAGCTTATTTTTTTATGACAATAAATCAATTATTTGATCATCAATATTTATCGAAACTTCTTTTTCAACTGAAATTTATTTTACGTACCTACGAGTAGGTAGTTAGTTAGGTAGTATTATATATGTACTATGTAGTATGTAATACGTACCAATGCACGTACATATATCGTTTAATTAATTATGTTACGTTGTATTTTAAGTGTTCTCATGTCTTATTACCACATATTTTTGATTCGTATTTAAATTTCAATTTAAAATTGTTAGACACTATTGATTATTTATCATACTAACTAAACATTGTAGTACATGCTGTTACGTTGAATTAAATTTTAAACATTTAACTATTTCTACTGACATCTAACACTAGTACTTAAGTAGGTGTTATCAAAAGTAAAGGTACCGATATTTAGTATATTTCGTTAAAAATACATTTGGATTACCTTACTATTTTGTACGCAACACAGCATAATTGATTAAACGAATACGTACATATATGTACCTATAGATACGTATTACATACTACATAGTATATAATATATTGGTATACAGGCCCGTATTTAGAGGGGCATAGGTAGGCACATGCTTGGGGGCGGCAAAATATTTTAGCAAAATTAATTTTAAAAATGATGAAAAAATAAATAAAACAATAAAAAAAAGAAAATAGTATGTTTTATTATGTTATAATTTGTAATTTAAAAAAAAAAAATTATACTTTCATTATATTATAATTTGTTAATTAAAAAAAGTATTAAACGATTTTAATTTATAAGTTATATTTTAATATTAAAGAATCTCGATTATGGACGAAATAATAAGTGTTATATTATTATTATTTATTTTTTTTAAGGGGGAGGTGGCATAAATTAATGCACACGGGCGCAAAATTTTTAAATACGGGCCTGTTGGTATATAAAATAAATTGCCGCAAATAATGTATCATATCGGTTTTGTCGCAAATTGTGTAATGTTAAATTTTTTTTGCCGCAGTTTATACATCGACCTTTGGAAAAAGGATAATTTTACCGCAGTTTACCATCCCTCCTTTAAAATCCAATAGATTCATCTAGTGAATGTTTAAAAAAAATTTTACTGGGCGAGAAAAAAAAATGTCCGCGCATATAGTCGATAAAACCAATACCAACAAACTATATTATGAACCGATAAAAAAAAAGTCACTGTTCAATAAACAAACCTTAAAAGCTCTATTAATATCATCCAAACTCGTAGCATATTAATAACTAAGTACAAATAGTACACGAATTAAATTTGTTTAATTATTATTTAATTGTAATTATTAATTTGATAATGATATAATATTGGGGCGACAACTGTCGATGCATGTTATTGATATAATATTATCAAATGATTTTTATCGCATGGTTCTTCCATTTTAGTTATTCGAATAATCAGTATAATTTATGTTTTAAACTTCAAATCACCGAACGAAATTAAAAAAGAATAACAAAACCGAGCATAATAAATTACTATTAAATAAAATTTCAAAATGTATTACAAATTTTGATTTTCGCCAAAACATATTTGTCGCCCAATAATTAAATGTATCGCCTTCTAGGCGACATTTATGGTTAAAATATGCACTGCATCCATCAATAGTATCCTATCTAAGGAGTTAAGAATTTACACGATGTGAAGTCAGTCCCCGCCTTTTTTTATGTATTCATTTTATGATAATATATATATATATATATATATATATACTTATGTATTATATTAAGAGAAGCCCATACATGTTTGTTTGCACCTGGGTCTGTGGCACTTTAGTACGGCACTGTCAGACTCACCACAAAATCTGTGTATTTGTTATTTAATATTCTTATTTTTTTTTATTTATTGATCTTTTACCACTTAGGTACCAAAGGTCATTAGTTATTTTTTTTTAATATTTGGTTTTTTTACATACCATTTTTACATTTTATTATTATTATTATTTGTGTATGTATTATAAATTATATAACTTAATTTAAATTTGGTTGTATACATTGGTTTGCTTAAGGAAATTGATTAAACTTGTATTTTGTTGGTGATTGGGTCCAAGAGCTGCGTCGAGGTTGTGTGATATCCCATGTTCGATCCTTTATTAATTATATTTTAGGCAGTCAGAGATGACGTGTTTGACAGAGAGAATGATTCCACATGTCGAGCAAATTGGGGGGTTCTCTTTAGCAATGAGAAAATCGTGAGTGAGCCTGGTGTGTCCTATTTAATATATTGTTACGATAATCAGTGGTGTATTGATAAATACATGGTTATACGCGCCTAAAAGTACGTCAGTTGAATATATCTTACAAAATGTTCTCGCTCCGCTCAAAATATCATTACGCTAAGTAATTAATAATCTTTTTTTACAAACACCCTTCGTGTATATATGTATACGTATAAGATGACCATATATTTTTCTAGTTGGAAAGGAATAAAAAAAAAAATTTTCATGAATTAATTACACTCGTTAATAAATAATTAATTTTTATTATGAACGACTTTTTTTTTTTTTTTTTATTATTTAAGAAAAATTACGCGTCTACGTAAAGAAAATGGTCGAACATTTCTGTAACAAATACTAAAACAATATATTGGACTATGAAAAATAATTTAGCAGTTTTATGTTAGTTTGTTCACTGATATTGCGGTGTTTATGAATACATTTGGTTAATATGTCCAAACTAATAATAATAGATCGTTGGCCGCCATAATTATTATCATATTTCATTAGTGTCGCATCAACAAATTAAAGTCGCTTATCACTATTTTTTACTGCTTTCTGAAAACGAGAAATTTTAGTGTTTCGAAGATTCTCCAGGGGACAATTGTACTTTTTACTTTTACTTTATTTTCTTACAGACTAATTTCATAAAAACTTATTTATTTTAACTGGCCTTGTACTTTAACCAAGCATTTTGATATCTTTGAACAGACTTAAGTCATTAAGTTTAATATGTACATTGTACAACCATAGCAGATTTGTATTCACTTTGATTGATTAATTAATCAAAACTAACAAATTTGAATTCGACTTAACAATGGTGCACACAATTTTTTTTCATTTCAATTGATATGTGAGATAAAATAGAAGTAGAAGAAAATCTTGAATGAAGTGTAGGTATTGCTAATATCAATGCCATTAAATTTTGGCAATTAGAAAAGTTTAAAATTATCACTATACCGTCTATTATTTTTTACGATATAGTAAGCTCTCCTAAAAACTGTGTAGATTTATGAATTGTATGAGAATTATTTTCAAATTGATTTTTTAATCTGACAGATTCCCTTTCAATTTGTATCAAATTTATGAGCTAATGTTAAATGTTTTCTGATTTTATTCCTCGGAACAGAAGTCTAGTTTTTTTATTATTACTAGTTGTCCCACTAATAAGACTAAGAGAC